TCCATGAACATCGTGAATAAAGCACCAACCGGGACCCCACACACACACTCTCTTCGAGTTGTGTATAGAGAACATGACAAAACATACATACAGCATAATCACTACCTTACCCTTCCCGAACCACATCAGCAAACAAACTACGGGCTGTGCCCCCGTGCCCTCACCGTAAGTCAATTTCCCCCCCCGAGACATTTTCCCCCCAAGACATTTTTTGCCGTCCTTCTTGTTCACAGCCCAGCAGGGGTGTGTTCGCAGCCAGTCAGGGGTGCGTTTCCCCCCTGAGACATTTCCCCCCCGAGACATTTTCGTCATCCTTCGTTATACCGGTCGTTGATTAGGGCGCGTTTGGTCGTTGGAAGGTTCGAAAAATGCAGGCAGGTGCAGGCACGACACTTTGCGGGGTGGTGGCAGTTTCTTTGAAAAATCGGGGACTGGTAGCTGCCCCTAGGACCTCGTGGGTTTCGCGCTGGGTTATGGTTGAAACGGTGGCAAAGTAGTGGCAGGGTGGAGCTTGGGGGGTGGTGCCAGTTTCTTTGAAAAATGCGGGACTGGTAGCTGAACGTGGGACCGTGCGTTGGGTTTTCGTCGAAACGCAGCCGCAGGGTGGAAAAGTGGAAAAGTTTGCAGCCCGTCAGGAGTGTGTTTCTCCCCCCTGAGACATTTCCCTCCGAGACATTTTCGTTGTCCTTCGTTATACCGGTCGATGATTTGGGCTCGTTTGGTCGTTGGAAGGTTAAAAAAACACAGGCAGGTACAGGCACGACACTTTTGGGGGGGGTGGCAGTTTCTTTGAGAAATGCGGGACTGGTAGCTGTCCGTGGGCCCGCGCGCTGGGTTTTGGTGGCAAAGCAGCGGCAGGGTGGATCTTTGGGGGGTGGTGGCAGTTTCTTTGAAAAAAGCGGGACCGGTAGCTGCCCGTGGGACCGCGCGTTGGGTTTTGGTCGAAACGGTGGCAAAGCAGCGGCAGGGTGGAAAAGTGAAAAAGTCTAAATCGGAAAGGGCGCGGGCTTGGCCGCAGGTTGAAATGAAAAATCTGCATTGTATTTGCGAGTGCAAATAGATGTGTCTGAATGTGGACGTATTCAACGTCCCACACATTCAGCGCCCAATTGAGTGAGTCATAAGTGACAAAACAACTTTTATTTAATTAAAAAAAAAAATACAACAACAAACACTTAAGCACACATATATACGACATATCAACCAAGATTAAAGGACCACTAGCCTCGACACCAACTATGAATCAAGGTATGTCAAATATCTAATACATTAATACCATACAAGTTACCTAGATCCAACACATTCCAACACTAACAGATGTCATAAACGCAAACACCCTAAGTATCACACAAACACACACACACACTAATCTTGACACATACACACAAATACCCCTTTTTTTCATGCAACAATCACCCTATTTCTAAACCTCACCAATAACACCTCCTTTATCAATCAAGCATATACAAACTACGGGTTGTGCACCCGTGCCCTCACGGTAAGTCAATTTCCCCCCCCAAGACATTTTCGTCGTCCTTCGTTACACCGGTCGTTGATTCGGGTTCATTTGGTCGTTGGAAGGTTCGAAAAATGCAGGCAGATGCAAGCACGACACTTTGGGGGGGTGCCAGTTTCTTTGAAAAATGCAGGACCAGTAGTTGGCCGTGGGACCGCGCACTGGGTTTTGGTCAAAACGGTGGCAAAGCAGCGGTAGGGTGGAAAAGTGGAAAAGTTTGCAGCCCGTCAGGGATGCGTTTCACCCCCCCAAAGACATTTCCCCTCAACACATTTTCGTCGTCCTTCGTTACATTGACTTACAGTGAGGGCACGGGTGCGCGGCCGTAGTTCGTTTGTTTATGTGGTTCAGGAAGGGTGAGGTACTGATTCTGTTGTATGTATGTTTTGCCATGTTCGCTAGAGAGAGAAAGAGAGTGTGTGTGTGTGTGTATGCGTGTGTGTGTGTGTGTCCGTGTGTGTGTGTGTGTGTGTGTGAGAGAGAGAGAGAGTGCGTGTGCGTGTGTGTGTGTGTGTGTATGTGTGTGAGAGAGTGTGTGTGTGCGTGTGCGTGTGTGTGTGTGTGTGTGTGTGTGTGTGTGTGTGTGTGTGTGTGTGTGTGTGTGTGTGTGTGTGTGTGTGTGTTTGCGTGTGTATGTGTGTGTGAGAGAGAGAGAGAGACCTGCACCATGCAGCATGTCAGTGGCAGGGAGCACGAGGGCAGACGCTGACCACCAACAAAAATAAGTAATTTTATCAGAATACAATAAATTGTTTTTTTCGAAATCCGAATAGAAAGGGTACATGTTGTATTTGAATACAACGTGTACGTTTTCTATTCGAGGAACTCTGCTATTTGAGAAAGGATTGCGGCCTCCTCGGCATTCTACGCGCAGCTACCGGTCCTACGTGGTCCTGGATCAAAACCCGTGCGGTCCCACGGGCAGCTACCGGTCCTGCAGTTTCAAATAAGATGCCACCACCCCCTAAACTGCCATGCCTTGTTTTTTCCAGCCTTCCAACGACCATATAACGAACGATGACAAAAAATATTCTCAGGGGCATAAAACGCACCCCTCACGGGTTGCGAACTGGTCGTTGATTCGAGCTCGTTTGGTCGTTGGAAGGTTCAAAAAATGCAAGCAGGTGCAGGCACGACACTTTGGGGGGGGGTGGTAGTTTCTTTGAAAAATGCAGGACCGATATCTGCCCGGGAGACCGCGCCCTGGGTTTTGGTCGAAACCGTGGCAAAGTAGTGTCCGGGTGGATCTTTGGGGGAGGGTGGCAGTTTCTTTGAAAAATGCAGGACCGTGGCAGTAGCTGCAAGTGGGACCGCGCGCTGGGTTTTGGTCGAAACGGTGGCAAAGCAGCGGCAAGGTGGAAAAGTGGTGAAGTCTGAATCGGAAAGGGAGAGGCCTTCGCCACAGTTGGAAACGACACACCTGCATTGCATTTCCAAGTGTAAAAAGATGTGTCTGAACGTTGACATATTCAACGCCCCACACGTTCAGCGCCCGATTGAGTGAGTCGCATGTGACAAAATAACTTTTATTTAATTAAAAAAAAAAAACTTACAACAGCAAACACTCAAGCACACGCATATACGACATATGGACCAAGATTCAAGGACCACTAGCCTCAACACCAACTATGAATCAAGGTATGTCAAATATTTATTACATTAATATCATACAAATTACCTAAATCACACACATTCCAACACTAACAGATGTGATAAACACAAACATCCTAAGTATCACACAAACACATACACTAATCTTAACACATGTACACAAATACTCTGTTTTTTTCATGCAACAATCACCCTACTTCTAAACCTCACAAATAACGCCTTCTTTATCAATCAAGCATATACAAACCACGGGCTGTGCACCCCTGCCCTCACGGTAAGTCAATCCGCAACCCGTCAGGGTTGCTTTCTGTATTGACTTACTGTGAGGGCACAAGTGCGCAACCGATAGTTTGGGGTGGGCATTTTGAGGTTTCGGGGCTTAGCAAGGGGCGGGGCATATGAAGGACCAATAGCTGACCGTAGGAGGCCGAGAAGGCCGATCCTTGAGTTTTGAACATTCCAAAATCGAAACGGCCTGGGCCCACTTTTCTCAAATAGAAGACCAGTTCGGATATAACACGTGCTCGTTGTGTTCGAATACAACATGTACCATTTCTACTCAAATTTTGAAAAGGAAAACCTCTTCAAGTTGTGTTCCAATTCCATATTATGTTTTTTTTCTTTTTTTGGAGGTCAGCACCTGCCC